GGGCTCTCCAGACCCCGGGTTCCAGACTGACAAGCACCTCAGTGTTTTTAGCCTGGGTGAACGGAAAAGGAACACCCCCTTGCCAGTGCGGAGCCCTTTCCCACTCCTCTCCCCCACCATAAACTCAAAGAAGCCCGGGAGAGAAAATTGCTTATTTGAAAAACCAATATCCAAATGCTTTCATCACTCAAACGCCCTTTTGAAAATATTGTTGACGGTGGTTATTATCCAGACAATGCTGTCAATTTTTGTCATCTGCAGAAAATCTTCCCTCGGATGGAAAGTGGGACATCGTGCACCAAAAACCCCAACCAATTTCCCTGCCACCGGATATATTTTTCACTCAGACAACACTTTCATTAAGGGGGAAATAGCCGTCCACAATTCAAAGCCAAATAGAAATCAACTTTGCACAAAGAGGAGCCACGAATTGAATAGCTTTCTGGGAAAACACCGCTAACAGAGTTGGAGCAATTCCGGTTCTCTCCCTCTAACACCCTCTAACACGGAAGGCCAGTTTCCAGAAGCTGTCACTACAAGGCCCCAGACAGACAATACTGGAGGATGTGGAGCAGGAGGACAACCCACCCAAGCCAAGTGATTCCCTCACACTTCAGAGAGCTCTTCCGGGGTAGATGAAGAGTTGAAGCTTTCAGGAAAATACTGAGGAAGTGGCCACCTCTCCTTCTTTCTCCCTAGAGCCCTAGAGCACAAACTGGGTTATCAGGTGGTGCATGGGCCCCTGCAAAAATCTAGGTTTGATGCTGTTTCAGGAAGGCCGATTAGGGTAGAAAAGTAGAAAATTTGGTAAGATAGGGGAATGTTCATACTGCCTCCAAGAACCAGCCTCAATATAAAGCACTTAGTAGACAGTGTTAAGTAGCCAACTCATTTTATATAGTGTGTTGCAGGAATAAGTTCAAATTGATTAAAACTTTCAGTGAGCAGCTGGTTTCATTTTCAAGAGAAAGAAATATACATGCCCAGTCCAGAGAACAAGACAGTGGTGATGGCTCTCTCCCTCTGCTTTCCCCTAACCTCCATGTTCCTCAACAGCCAAATTTTTTATGAGTGGAATTCACCAAATGGCTTGCCTTCTATCAGTGCAGAAGCAGTAGTCCTGCAGATATGGTAACCATTTTAAATAAACTCAATTTAGCACTTGATATATAATTCACATGTTAAGGACACCACACATTTAAGGGAATAAGTGTCTTAAAATGTTGTGCATATGGATTATGAAGAATTTAGTTACAAAATAAGCTAGATTATTAGCTATTTTAATTCCTAGAAGAAACAGTAAGACTTCTTCTCTTTACAGTCATGCTGTGGGTGTGTGACTGATCACAGTTAAGGCTCTCAACCCCTTGACAGATTCTCTCCACTCCGTTTCTGAGTAAGTTTTTCACAGGCAAGCCCAAGGAGTGCTCCCTGGACTCAGTTCTCTGTATGACTTTACCACAGGAAAACTCCCAAACACAATGCCACTTTTTTTTTCTTTTTTGCTGGAAGATGCTCTCCTTGTTCTCTGGCTTGCTCTTAGCTTGACCCACTGAGAATAGCTCAATTCAGGACAACCCCCTCCCACTCTTCACAGGAGGGAGAAACCACATTTTCCTACTTTATCCAGTGTGTGCTTCATGTCGGTTAAAATGCTACAACCCTGTTATCCCATTACACCACACTGAAAATATCCTGGAATCAGTTCAGAACTGACAGAAAAATAAAGGCTGCTGCAGGAATTGTTTTAACAGTTTTAGTAAGTCAAGCCATAAGTTTCTCTGCTATTGCATTCAGATCTTTAAATGTGGATTACAGAACACTGAATAAACTGAATTTTTCTTTACCTTTATTTTAAAAAGGTGCATTCTTGTGCCTTTGCATTTCTGGCCTGTGGTGATATTTGAATATTCTAGCTACTGTGCTTCAGAAGGCACCTCTGCAAAAGCCTTTCTAATTAGTTTCCCATTGCAATACTAAAATAAGCTTCCAATATGTTCTAGGACAGACCCTTTTTTCAATAAACACAAAGAAAGACCCAAAATCCCCAACCTAGAACAAGTGTTCAAAGAACCTGGGGCCAAGAAACATATTCAGAACATCTAACCAAATACAAGTATGAATCTGTAATTTAAACATAGTGCATTGATCTCCTGGATATAGAGTTGTTTTTCATAAGAAGTACTTCCCAAACCTGGGATCATGTATTTTTTCCTATTAGCAAGAATGTCAATATTTCTGTATATGAGACATGTAGCCAAGCCTTGCTTCTTGGACATAAGGTGGTAACTACTCCTTGGAAGATATAACTGGGATTCTATGGCATAAACAGAACACTGTAGGTATTAGCTGGAAGGCAAGGCACAGAGTTCTCCTGCCATCTAACCAGAGGTGTGGACCAGAAAGACCAAAAATTACTCATTAAATTCCTTCCCAGCTCATGCAAGTTTAAGGAAAAATTAAAGGTTTTGCCACCAGCATCTTCTTGAAAGGCAAGTTGGAGTGGCTCCTGACAAACCTGTATACATTTATTTCAGGGTTTTGCAAAGGGCTGGGATCTTCTGAGTGGCAGCTGTGAGTACCTGATGGCTCAGTTACTCTGTCTAGTGTTTAATGAGATAGCTGGAGGAAGAAACCTTGATCACCCCTTGATCTGTTCATTGCCCTAGATTTTAATCACAGCTCCTGATTCCTCTATTTGCCTAAAACCATCCTAATGTGACTGCTTGATTCACCCCCTTAAATTCATTTCCATGGTAAAAGTCAGCTCCCTTCTCCAAGAAAACAGCTTGGAATTTTGATGGCAAAAAGCCCTGGGATTACAATCTCTGGAAATATTGCCTTGGGCCACCTCCATCATCCTTTTGTTTTTGCAGTGTATGTGGTTTCTAAACCCCAACACACAAAACAACTTTAGATAGGAGAGAAAAGAATGGACTTTTCAATCACCTTCTCTATTTTATTGTTCACGTCTCATATTGTTCTGAGTGAAATTGGAAAAATTGTCTCCTTTCTCTGTATTGCCAAAAGGCATTCAGGTAATGAAGTCTGTAACTAAACGGTAATTGAATCAGCATAATTTGCACACTGAATGGTTTTCAAATGCTCCCAGTTTACAATTAAAGGAGAATTAATGCGCTTGTTGTTGAGAACGCAGCGCATTAGAATAAATCCAGCACTGTTGTTGTAATGAGTGGAAAACGGTTTAACTGCCAACAAACACATTTAAAATTTAACACAACGTATTGATTTCACTTCTGCTTTTGATAGATTGTTTTCCAAACTATCGAAATACTTGTTTCAAGCAATAAACTTCACCGTAGCTGAGCCCTTGCCCTGGGTGAAAGAAGAGCCGAAGGACATAAGAACATCAGAAGGTTCGGGTCACGGTAGAGGTGTGCGGAGGAGAGGCGCGGGCGGTTTCCAGGGTCAAGGGAATCATTAATATTCCCCCTTTTTCGCCTGCACGTTGCACTCGTCCCTCTCATTTCTCAGTAAAAATTTTCCGTCCAAACTTTCTGTTCTCCAACTCTGAGCTCTCAGTGGCACTGGGCTTACTGGACACAGCAGGGAACGAGAGTAACAAAAGATGGAAAATGGGAAGAACCCTCTTCGGCCCTACAGAGGAAAGGCCGAGACTTCGTAAGTTAGATAGGCTGTACTTTTGGATAGACTGCCCCAGCTTTCACCTGTTTACCCCAAGGTGTTCTGCGAATGAGGACGCTGATGCGCAGCGCCCTCTGGCGTCTGCGGCTGCTATGGTCAGGCGACAATGGTGCAAAGACAGCCAACCTTGAGATTGAAGCTGAAACCAGTTAAATACACATATTCTCTCTCTCTCTCTCTCTCTCTCTCTCTCTGTATTCACACAACTCTCAGCCTACAGTCACATGCAACACAGCAAGGAAGGCAAGAAAACGCTGTCAATGGCAATCTTTTTGCTCCCAGGCTTGTGGTTCTGAAACTCTTGGGGTTGCAGAAGGACAGCATCACCCCCAATCCTGTTCATCCAGCCCCGCTAGTGACTTCAGGATGCTCCATGCTCTTCATCCCTCCACAGAACCACAGATCAGTCAATGTATTCCTGAAGCCCAGGTTGAACTGTGGGGTTCGTTACACTGAGGATAACTTCACTACCAGACGTCAACATCCCTGGCCCTGTGAGAACCCAGGCTCGAAAGACTGCCCCTCTCTTTTGTTCAGCTCTTTGTCCCTAGCTCCCAAATCACCAGGACAAAACACTTCACCATGGAGTCAGTTCCAACACATTGCAAAGTCCAACATGCCCTTCAAATAAAACAACTCTGAACCTTGGAGAACCTCAGCTTTGTATAGGATGCTCTCCCTGGTGCCCAGGCCTACCATTCCCTGCTAAAGGGCTCTGGCACTGGAAGTAGGGCTTGGTTATTTGGTAGAAAAGAGAGATTGAGAGGAGAGGAGAAGGAGGAGTGCTCCTTTGCCAAGTACCTCTGAACTAACTCTGCTCAGGTGTTTGGGTTCAAGTTGTCCTGCCTGAACCCCTGTAAGTCAAAGAAAGTTCCCTGCACTTCTCTAAGTGCCACATTTCCAAACTGGAGGAGTGGGTGGGTAAAGTCACTTTCAAATTTCTGCTTTCAACCCCTCACCCCACCTCCTTTTCCGTTCCTCTAAATTCCTTTGATGAACTCCTGAGATTTCCGTGCCTTGGTTCCCTCTCTTTGCCTTCTCTCTCTAAAAAAAAAAAACACCCCCCCCATTGCACTACCTCTGTTTTCTGGACGCCCAGGATACCCTAGCTTTGTTCAGAACCAAGCTTAGAGAGGGGTAAGGGAGCAAGAAATAAGACTTGAGCCCTGGAAGATCCCGAAGGAATCCAGAGACCAGCTTCCCTAAGTTGCTCCAACAATCACCAAGAACGCTACTCTTATTAAACTGGCAGCCTCGCTGTCCTACCCTGGACCTCTAGCCTGGCCTCCTGGCCTGGGAGAAATTTCAGAGACTCCCGACCCGGCGAGACTTACCAAGTAGACGGCGGGCTGCAAGAGGAGAATCAAGTACCAGCACGCAGCCTGCATCCTCCCGCGTCTCAAACTTCCTTGGCGGTGCCTTCGCTGAGTCTTTGTTCCTTCAGAAACATAAATCCACCTGACATCCACTTTACGGAGCAGGGAGCGCTCTCAGCAGCCTAAATAGAAATGAAATTAGACCTCCCATGACCACGCGGGCAAGGTTAGGCTTGGCGATCAAGCGGGGAAAGAGCCTCGTGGCGGGGAAGGGTGGACCAGAAAAACCTGGAAGAGGGATAGGAAAAATTGAAAAAAAAAAGAATGAATCCAGCTCCCGGAACCAGTAGGCGCGCGTCCTGCAGGCAGGCGGGCCAAAGCGAAGGAGGAGAGGTGCTCCTCGAGCCTTGCACTTCTGGGGTGCGAGTTCCTGGGCGTGGAGACCGGAGGCAGCCAGAGCCGCGCGCGGGCTGGTTTCTAGCCCATTTGTCTCTGGCAGCAAGACCTGCACTAGTGTCTGGTCACCCGGAGGCCCGGACTAAAGGCGGCGGCTGGTTCCTCGCCAGCCCTGGCGGGGCTCACACGTACGCACCAGCAAAGAGAGAGATAGAGAGAGACGGGAAAGGCTGAGCAAGGGCAGTGCATGAAGAGAAGGGGCAGGTAGAACTGACCAGGCTTAGGAGCTGGACACCTCAACACTGTCGGTGAAGTGGGGGTGTGGAAGGGGACTCCGAATTACAGAAAAGAAGGGCTTACTTCACCCATTCGAGCCCCAAGAGTACAGAGACACATACGCATCCACAATCACATTTCCAGCACTACTTTTTTGAAGCTAAGGGGCACAGCCAGTTGCTAACTTCTGGAGTGGAAGCCTGCCCGGGCCTGTGAGGGTCGTCTGCCCACAGCCGGTGTCCTTCCTCTGGCCCCTTCCATCCTGCCCCAAGGTGTCCCTTCCGGGGAGTGAGGCTGCAGGGTACGTACCCCACAGGACTGGAGGAGAATCTGGCAAGCAGGGACCGCTCTGGGCAGGCTCCATGGAGGAGCTACTCGGGCCTGGCGTCTTCGGCGCCCCGGACGTGCCCTCCTCGGAGCTCCGTCTCCATGCTCGGGAGCGGATGGGTCCAGCTGCCTCGTCCAGCCTCAGCCGAGCCGGCGTCCCAGCGCTGGGGTAGCTTTCAGTATTGGATCGCTGCAGCCCGGGCTTGGCACAGTTGTGTTCACGGTGCAGGAAACTTAAGAGGCAAGACACGGAGGGGGAAGTAGATGAGGAAAGAGAGAAAAGGAGGGAGGGAGGGAGCAAAGGGAGGGAGAAAGGCGACTGCGCCGGGCTACTGCGCCGGACGGGCTGGCACTCGCCACGCTGGCTGGGGCGAGCAGCCTTGGACTCCGGCTTTACGCGGTGCAGGAAGGGTAGAGATGACTTAGGGGGAGGAGACTGGACATGAACTTGAGAGATAAGATACTAGCCTTTCGGAAGAAAAAAAAAAGCCACACGGCAGACGCGTATAGTCCTAGTTTCTGAAGGAGGGGTGGGGTGGCGAGGATTTGGGCTGGCGCACGAAGTAGCTGCGACTCCGCCCGGGAAACAGACCCAACTGTCCGGAAGGAGCCGGACTTGGGCGCTGTCCGAGGTGCTGCCCGGCCGCCGGGTGACGCTCCGAGCGCGCTTCCTCCCCGCGCCGCGGTGAAGATGATGTCTCCGCTCTGTCGCGGCTCGGCTGGG